GATAGTATGGTAATTCTGTTTCCTCTGTCTACCTGTCTTTTTACACAGTTGTGTCTTCCACTTCCAAATGCTTGCCCTTCTGGCAAAAGACCAACACACATCAGGTGTTTTGCTCCCTTTCCTTCTCCTATGGGAAAATGAGATTAGTCCCCTCGAAGCTGTTGGATTCATATTAAAACCTTAACTCCCATATTGGTTAAAGTTGTGGAAGCAAAAGCAGTCAAACAGATTGTCCTCGTCCTTCCTTCCTTCCCACTACCCTCCCTCTTCTTCATACTCGTTCAAAACTTTTGGCAGTGGCCCTATCCAAATTCGGACATCCAGAGAAGAAAGATGGAAAACAATGTCAGTTATTACAGGCATTTTATCCACTATGGATCTTTGGCTGCAGAACAGTCTGTGAAGAGGACACAGGGCTTCAAATCCAAAGGGTAGGTCAGATTAAGGCACAGTGTTTTGTCCCCCTCCTCTACACTTCACACAGCACAGCACTGTGGGTTTCTGCTCCCTTTTGTGATAATGTTAAGTCCACCACTCCTTTAGGAGCAGTAGCTGAAGAAAGGCCCTTACCTGCAGCAGCAACTTTGATTAGGATAGAAATATGGGGTTATAGCTGGAACTCATGCCTATTATTTTAAACTTCTCAGGAGAACCTAATTTACAAGCACTTTCTCATGGAACCCACTGTTTTGGGGTTATTTTGATGTATGTGGGATGGTCAACAGGATGCCCAGTGTAGTCTGGGACCTACCAAACTCAGTGGGAAGATAGTTTGAGCTCCTGCTTTGGTTTCTGCCACTTCCACCTGCAGTGATTAGCAGCATACACAGACAGCAGTACTAGTGTCTTCCCGGGGCAATTTGTAAAATATCATCTTGTTCAGCATGAATAGAAAAGAGCTTCAATATTTGATCTTTAATTAATTGGAAGGGAGTGAGGTGAAGAGAGAAAGGGGAGAGAACTACAAATAACATCCATTAATGGACTCAAAGTAAATATCTCCTTCCCTGAAGGCATTCCATAGCATAGAATTAGCAGTGAGATCCTAAACTGGTGAGCATCAGCAATTGGTCTTTAGTAACTGATGAAGCTATGTGCCCATCATGGCTGGCTTGCATGATCTGGGTGTAGCTGTGATAAATTTCCAAGCTTTGCAATAATCTGACATCAGTAGGGTGTCTGTATTACGGATATTTTATCTAGATGAAACTAAATTGGTACTTACCGAATGTAAACAAGTGCATAATATGAACAGCACATAATTTATATAATTAAAGATTGGTACAAAATACAGTTAGAAACTGTTGTCATTTTCATTGATGCTCTTATCATAGTGAAACTGAGCTGACCAATCTCCAAAATTTTACAGAAACTCACAAATTTTTTGTCATTTATGGATATTAAATTATGCACAATTTATTATAAATAATTCATCTTAGCCCTGTGGGCTTTATTTTATTACCTGCCCTTAGTTAGAAACTGTTTTTTACAGTCATGTTATGCAGCAGATTAAGTGTTCATCCTTACTGCCTGCTTTCAAAGCAGTCTGTCAGTTGTGATCAGACATGCCGTATGCTACAAAGCACAAAACTCGACCTGATGCCTTCTAACCGGGAAAGCAGTCGGCAGGAAGTTCCAGCTGAGGTTCACAGTTCCAAAGTCTGTAACCTTCTAATATTTTCAAGGTTTCATGTGTTTTACACAGGTCAACACATGGTCTGCTTCTCCTAAAAGTTCACCAGCAGTTTAGCAGCACTGTGAGCTCCAGGGTTAGAAGAGAGAGAAAAGTACATTGATGTAAAATACCTATTGTTATCATAATTTTTTTAGCCTAGATGTTTAGGTAAAATCACACAAGGCATCAGATTCTTGGCTGTAAGAAATACACAGGGTTCCATGTGAGTCAATGAAATGGTTAATTTACATCAGGTGAGGATCTGACCTAAATTTGTTTCAACTCTGAGTTACTGGTGCATATGCCGCATTACTCTCACATATGGAATCCTATCACCGCTGTATCAAAGATGTAATTAAAAACCTGCCATAACAAATGTGCACTATGCCCTACCAAGTTCTTGCGTTGACAAACTGCCAGAGGGGAAGAGTTTGATCTTTTACTCAATGTGGCTTGCCTCTGGTCCTAAAGGTGCTATCAAAGAGCTTGAGAGAAGCGGGCCATGGTGGAGCAGTGGGGAGAGGCTGCTTCGAGCGGTTGGCTGCCAGGCTATCCAGCCTTCCTGAGTACAACTTGCACGCTGTTGTAGCACCAAGCAAAAGATAGGCAGAGCAAAACACTGAGCACAGTTTGTTTTATGGTGATAGCAGCTCCTTTCTACTAAGAATGTGAGTAGCAGAGTTCTGCACCAGCTGCTACTTCTGGGTGGTCTTCAAGGCTAACTTCAAATACTGGCCTGTGCAGTAAAATAGCATGGAAGTGTCAAAGACATAAGTAACTCTGGTAAGGTCTTTATCAGCCGACAGGCCTCCATTTTCTGGCCAGCTATGTGCTGAGGAAGGGCATAACAAGCCACCATTCCTGCCTAAAATCCTAGGGCAAGGATGTATATACAGAAATAAGAGTGGGCTGGGTGTTCCTTTGAATAAATGTGTTCTCAGACTGAGCTCCCAAAACTAATGATCAAATGCTAATAAGTATCTCCATCTACTTCCCAAATTCATTAATCTTGCATGAAAACCTAGCAGATAAAACTATGCTGTGCTTGAGTGGTGGCAGGCCAGAGGATGGCCATAGAAGTTGTTTACATATATGAAACATCTAACTCATTTCTTCAGTTCTTTTTTGTTTGTATTCCTGTAGAAGTTTTCAGTATATCTCTTAATGCCACCACTCAAAATAAATTCCTACATAACCATTATTCACATTATTTAATAAACAAAACTGAAACCAAACCTAATCAGAACAAGTAAAAAGAACCCTTGATGTTAGCATGCAGGACAATGTGATTCCCAAATGGCTACTTCAAGAAAATGCTAAGAAACAGTTGTGCCTAGGGGCTATATCCAGAACCCCCAGAATTCAATGGGAATATTTTATGATTCACTAGCATTTACATCAGACCATAAATGTGCAGCATACTTTACAGAGCATTTCAGTTATTTACAGCAGGCACAGACCCTCACTTTCTTTGCATGGAACTAATACATTGTTTTAAAAGCACATGGAAGAAGATGGCTGCTCTTTGTTTAGAAAACTTAAAAAGCTTTAAATCCATAGAGTGGTTTTCTACTGATTTTACTCATGAGGAAATGGGCATATACATGGGTATATAGACACAAGAACAAATATTGTCTTGGTGATAGATATCTAAAAGGACATTAAAATGATTCCATTCAAAGAAGGCATATGAAATCTAGGTATTTTATCATTTATTTTGCTGCCGTTGCTTTGTAATCAATCAATTTTATAAGAAAGACTTTAAAAAAATATTAATGTAATTAAAGGTATTTTATTTTTTATAATTGCAGAACTTAAAACATATAGGGAGGTGTCAGCAAGACCCTGTTACTTGTGATACTTTGAAAATCAATATAAGAACAGCTCTCATTTGAAGGTGCTTGAAGTTCAGACCTTCAGTGTAAAAAGCCTAAGTTCTTCATTAGGAAAATAATGAGAGGTCTATTTATCTACAAGTTCTGGAAGTCCAGATTTCCTTCTGCACTAAAGGCTAATATCAAAAATAATAATAAAAAAAAAAAAAAATCACCTGGGAATGTTAAAATTCAGAGACCTATATGTATCTATGACATATTCCAGCTGTACACAAAATGCACTTAATCCTGTACTGAGAACTTGGCATTCAAACCAACAGCCTTAATAAACAGAACTACATGTTTTCATTTGCTATTAGTGCCCTTCACTTTTGTCTGCTGAGGGAAAGGTTAGTTTCAAGACAAAGCTTTTGTTGGGCAGAATAGCAGAGCACACTCTGTCAGTGTTATCAGTGTCTTTAAATGGGGAACATATTTAACTTGACACAGGAGTAAAAGAAAAATAGAAATAGGATTTGTGAAGTAAAAATATTGAGCTCTAATATATCTCACAGGAACAGAGAAGCAGACAAGAAGCGATGGCACCTTCAGCATCCCACATTGTGGAGGAAAATGTACTTTTGTTAAAATATATAGGGGCAAAGCCTGAATTTTTAAACGAGCCAGGGTATGGTGTCCAGAATCTTTATGCAACTGAAGATTGCAAAACCCAACAAAAATCTGTACCAGCACCAATGGCTGACAGAAGAGAGAAAATCTCTAAATTGACAGCGGATTTCAGTTTTCTTTTGAGAGACCTGAGAGACATATTCTGTTTCCCCAGTGGATGTTGTACTTGTGCAGCCGTACGGCAGCACTATGGTGGTCTCCCAGATTTCTCTGATATTTGTAGTACTTTCAGTATCCAAATCTGCTCACTGAAAAGACCATGCCTCTTTTTGTTTACACACTGATTACCAAAACAGGCGAAGAAAAGTAAAAATGCAGTTTTCTCGAGAGTATCAGGAAGAAGCAAGACTGGAGCTACTCCATCAGGAAGGACAAGCCAGGAGCTAGAGTCATCCACAGGACAGGCAGTGCCCTTCCTGACCACTGCACAGGCCCTCAGCAGGCTGCTGGTGACAAAATCCATTGGCAGCCCCAGGCAGGCTGAGGTTATGAACCAGGTCCAACACCTTATGGGGAGTCAGAGGGAAGGGAGCCAGAGAAAACATGTGAAAACAGCTACAGTTTGGGTCTAAGATCCTTCCAGAAGGTGGGACAAAAGATCAGGCTCCAGCACAGATCCGAGGGCTACGTAGGAGCGAACAGAGATAAATCCAGACTAGGTACAACCACAGCATAGCTCAGAACAAGACTTGAAACCCATGGCCTGAGCTGAAGCGGGGTTTGTGTAGGAGTGGGTAGGGTAAGGGAGTGGGCACCAGGTGATTCTGATGAGGGCAATTTAGGCCAGTTAGCGTGGTCATGACGCTGACAGATGTAAGCATCTTGCCTGTGTTGGTCAGAAGCATAGAGAGGCTTGGTTAATTGTCAGTTTATCTTACAGTGAATTTAGTAAAGGTTTCAATTTTTCTGGTTAGTCATGTTTATGTAGTGGAATATTGTTCCTTTGTTGAACTGAAGAAATTCTAATATACAATATGAGTGGTTTTTATTGCTGTTTCTGTAAGGTAGTAAAAGGTGTTCAAGACTCCTTTCCAGGTATACGGTTCTTTTACTCTTTTATCTATGCCTTTAATGTATTACAAGACTCTATGTGGCTTTAAGATCTATGAAAAATGTTTAATAGAGCTCCTATTTTTTGTTCACCTGTTTATTTCTTGTGTAGCATAGGAAACTCGATTATTTCTTTAGAGATATCAGTTGAAACCCCAGGAAAAACATAACAGGTTATCAAGTCATTATATCTATTTTTAAAAAGGCAATTACTGCCAAGAGGATGTTGAAAAATTAGTTTCAGAAGTCTAGTACCAAACAAGTGTGAAAATCAGTTCACAGTACTTTACAAATGGTCCTTAGTCTTCCTAGTAAAGATGCCCATGCTTCAAGTTGATACCAACACCGTTGCTCATGCTGCTATACCAAATGAAGAAGCAAAACTTTATGCTACTCTTCAGACCAGTAAGGAGTGCTAAGTTGACTTAAACCTTAGCAGTACAATTTCAAATAATAACTAATCCTTTAAGCTTCTGTAGTTTTGTTGTATTTTATGAATGAGGCTGGATGTGAGCTTCAGGTTTATCAAGTATTTTGTTTGTGCCAAGTGCTCTTCCTGGGGTTCTGCTATTGTTGCTGACATCTACTGTGGTGCTCCTGTCCTAGTCCTAGTGTCTCCTGCTAGCTATGGGCTTACAAAAATTGTTCTTTTGGATGCTTTTGAAATTGCTTTGCAAGTCCTTCTTCAGCTAAACAAAGCATTTTTTGGCGCGTCGTGTCTGTAAGTAGCACTTAAACATTTTATTTTTTTTTTTATGATATAATCAAAAGGGTATAGTAGCACTTGGTAAAAAGGAAAATTTTGCAATGTGGGAGATCAGCAAATGAAAAGTGATAAAAATTCAAATGGAACTTTTTAGTGGTTCTGAATCTGTTTCCTATTGGAAACTTAGCAATTGTCATGGATAAAACATGGAAAAAATATTTTTATTTGATGATGAAATAAGTGTAATTGTCATCTGAATGTTCTTGGAGGTACTTGTGAGCAGCTTGTTTCTTGCACTACTAAAATGCTGTAAGCAAGCTCTTCTACCTCAGGTGCAAGTTTGCTGCATGGAGGTGAAATAATTTACAAACTGTGCTTTACTGTGCTGATGCTTGTAAGTGACATAAGTATAGAGTAACAATTAGCAGTGGCCAGAGAAGTGCTGACACCAATTCCTAGAGGAGATGATTTACTCTTAGTGCTGACCTGCCAATAAACAGTGATAAACTTCACCAAGAAACAACAAGTTTTTACTGTGTAAGTGCTTTTGTTCGTGAATGCTGCTGAATTTTACTTTCCATCTGGCCCAGGTCCTGGGGGCTTTATGGTTATGCCTAATGATAAAGGCCAGGTGGTCAAGTTTTGGGAGCTGTCTGTCACTTGTTCAGAAATGGGATGTGGCTGTAGTTGAGAGAAAATAGAGAAACAAAAGGCAGTGGCAGCTGGGGTGGGCAGGGAAGCAGAATTCCTCTCATTCTCAGCCCCTTCTCCTGTTCAAGCTCAACAACACCTGGATGTTCCTTTGGTAATGGCTGCTCTGGGGATTCGGTTGGGGCTGTTCTGAAAAGCAGTAGCCTCTTTTATCAAGCAGTATCTTGAGAGTGCTCGCTGAATGCACTGCACCACTTCCATTGCTCTGTGAGATACTTTGGGTAATTGAACTGCCCTGCCTGGAGAGTTTGGATTTTGTCTGAGAACCTTGCTCTAAAATGCTGTATTCTCCTTTACAGGAAAGGATGTTTGTACGATGTATGTAGTTAGTGGCTGTACAATCTTGTTAGTCTGGTGTCTGTAATAACATTGAGACACATCTATTACAGCTTGGTAAATGCATTAGCTCATTTTTGCATAAGATGCATTCCTACCTTGTTACTTCTACCTAATTGAGATGAATTGTGGAGGACAGAAGACACCTCATGCTCTTTGTCATACAAAGTGCATGTAAAGCTTCAAAACCTGTAACGAATATACAGAGCACAGGCACCTACGCTTGTGATAATTTTCTGCTGTCCTTCTTATAAGCCTTGACATTAGTAACATCTATGTGCTCTTGGATTCCCCTCCCCCAGGAAAAAAAAAAAAAAAAACAACACTCCAAGACATTTATAAATATAGTAGTAAAATGTATGAAGGCCTTTAACAGAATGCTTTAACTTCAGCGAAGATTAGAGTATAAATTTAGTTAGAGCGTTTGCAGTCAGAGAGTCACTTTTCTAGGAAAGTAAGTTTTGCTGAGGCAAATCAGGTCAAACCAATTTTACTGGTGTGGAGACAGTGTAAACGTAATTGAAGAAGGTTAGTTGGTATTTAGCTTTCTAATGTCACTCCAATGAACTGGTGGCCATTTACCACTGTGTTTGTGAAAGGGGTACTTTAGGATAATATTTACTAAGAGAGCAGTGGGGAGAGAAAGCAACATGTTTTGATTACTCTGGAATTCATCCCTTGTCAGCACACGAGGGCAGCGGTCTTGGGGAAAGCAGGGTGGCTGCCCCGTTTGCTTCCCTCACAAGCTTTCCTCCTTCAGTTCCTCCCTGAGAACAACTGGTATCTTTTACTCTAACTGTAATGAGTAGATCCTTTCCTAATTAGCTCTGCTGGAAAGCAGATGATCATGTCTACTGATAGTCTTACTGAAGCTTCACTGAGCTTAATTTCATACTATTTATACATTACAGTGATCCCATGAAAATATATTGCTAGTAATTTCCCTTTCTATATTGAATTGCATAAAAACAAAACAAACAAAAACAAAGATGTAGCAAAGGTATTGGAAGTAAAACTGGAATCTGTGTGTGTTTATTAATGCTTATGTGCATGCTTACGAAAAGCACCTTAAAGATCTAATTTTTTTGCAAACTTTAGCGTGCAAAATGATTTTAAGGCTTATTAAGGGAGCCAACAGAACTCATTTATTTCTTTGGTTGTGAAAACAGTTTTGAGACACTGGCTCATTTTCTTTCTTCAGTGGGAATAGAAGTGACTGATGTATTGCATATCACCAGAGTATCATGATTATTAGCCTTAACTCTAGTTTTGAAAGCACATCTAAACAGTCTCTCCAGGTTCATGTTTCCATTTTTTTCTTCTTTGATGAAAAGCACAGATTTATATTTCATGTTTTCTGTTTAAGTTTTGAATGTTCTAAAAATTTGCATGTTATTTTAATGTTTTGTTATCTCGTCTTTATTCCGTGCACTTCCAGAAACTGAAGTGTTTCTTTACAGTGCTTGATGCAGAGCCTTTCCAGTTTTCTTCAGGAAGAGAATGAAATCTATACTCTGCATTTTCACTTCCTCTGAACCTAAAGGATTTTCAGATTTTGATCGCATGTGGGACTGAACTGAATCAGAAAGTTCTGATTGGGTGACTAGTCAAAATCATTGACTAGAAGTGCTTACCAGGTGTCAAGATAGAGGAGCTGTGTATCAAGTACTTCTGAAAAAAATAATCTCAGCCAGGACCACTTTGAGGTTTGACCATCTGGGTATTCCTTTCTTTATTACATCAATATAGTGAATCTGTAAACAAGTTTTGCTTTGTGGAAGATGTGACACAGTCAAAGCATGCAGTCTTGGTAGTGATAATTGTCATATTTTGGAGTAATATAGTCAGCAAGTCAAGGGAAGGAAAAAAAAAATACAACAGTAACTGTTTTCATTGCTGCTTTTGTTAAGTAGGAAGAGTAATTCAATGAAGAGCACTGTCTGGCAGTCTTAATTTTTTCTTGAATAACTATGGCTGTTCTATACCTTGTACACAACAAAAGTGTCACAGCTGCTTATGAGCTTGATGATTTGAAACTTAACTTACAATAACCCAAGATAAGTTGTGAAGTTTATTTCCTTTATAAAAAATGTGAAAATTTAATGGATATATGCTGAATATACAAGTTACAATTTTACTCATAATCTGTTCTGAGGTATGTAATTGTGACCAATTAAAAAGGAAGATAATTTGATTAAAACCTATAGGTTAAGGCTGTACCATACAGGCACATACCCAGAGCAGACCTCTGGAATCAATTGAAAGGCTGGATAACACAAGAGCAGCTTAGGAATGGTTTGCTCTCAATTAGTTCATATAATTGGCTAGTATTAGAGAAATACCATAAAATACTCATAACATGACACCTATGAATCAGTAGATCTACTTTCGATCTTAAAAACTAACTGAGGTAAATATAAATATAACTGTAAAGCGGTGTGAATTAGGTTCTGCAAGGCAGATTCTGCATTTCATTGTAATAATTACATAAGCTTACCTGTTACTGGCTAGATCACAATTTTCCTGGGAAAACAAAAGGAGGAATGATAGTCTCTTTAAATAAAAGCTATTTGTTAAAGTAAAAAGAGAAAAGTCCGTTTTACAAAACCTGTATGCAAACTATTAATTACAGTTTTGTGGGTTTTTTTGTTTGTTTGTTTTGTGTGTTTTTTTGTTTGTTTGTTTGTTTGTTTTTGCGTGGGTTTGATTTCAGTTTTGTATTTATAGAAAACAAAACAGAACAAAAAGCACAGTGTGGTATGATGATGTGCACATTGCACATGGCTACACATTGTCTGGTGTACTTACTGAGAAATGTCATTGCATTTTTAAGATAATGCATAAGTAGCCAAGCCTGGCATGTAATAATGTGGATTGTATTTTGCAGTTAATTCAGCAATTTTCAGTGCTCAGTAGAAGTCAAGCTGTTATATGCATATAGGTAGTTACAAAATAGACATGGGGAAATAGCAGTGAGCAAAGCTTAGTTTGATTAGGAACAAAGTAAAATCAAAGTACACAGGGCAAAACAAAAAGCTTATTATTCCCTTACAGAGTAGCCATTTCTTTAATTTCATATTCATAATAGAATGGTGATGATATAAATATCTACAGTGCTTGCTGTAGGAACAGGAGACTTCCAAAGACTTCAAGGATGGCATTATTTCTGTTAAAATTGGGGCAAACCTACAGTTCACATTAGGAGGACAAAACTGGTTTGGAAGCAGACTCC